TAGGAAAGCTTAGGCATAGACAGACGAGAGAAGAGTCAATGTAGGAATAGTATAACTAGCCCTTAATTTTTTGGTGTCTTTTTACTCTGGTTGGCTATTTGGATATAAGCGAAACTGGCTAAGGCTGCCAGAGGCTACTCCGGGTGGAATTGTGGAGACCCCGACCCCAACTGCATAACTGTTTGTAAGGAAATATCAACAAGGCTTGTTAAAAAAATAAATAAAAAAATCTGGAGGTGCAGAACCGGCCAGAGGTGCACATGCATGTTTTTTACCAAAATCAGTAGAAACAGAGATAGGGGCAAAACTTAAAAAAAAAAAAAAAAAAGAAGAAGATAGGGGCAAAATAGGCTGTGACAAAGGGTGTCAAGTGCAGCAAAATTAATACCTCTGCCAATCCAAAAAAAAAAAAAAAAAAAAAGACCCTCTGCCAACCCGAAAATAGGGCTAGTGTCGACAAGTAACAGGCAGAAAAAAGGGGTTGGCCCGAAAACCTTGTTTTCCTACAGCGTGTCAGACAAAAGAAACCCCCAAAACGCATCTGCAGTCTTCCCCCGAATACAACGTACGGTCATCATAGCTGAATTTGGTGTACCTTTCAGTCTAAGTTCTGCTATAATGACCGCCCCCAAAACGCACCTACAGTCTTCCCCCGAATACAATACAATGTATGGTCATCATAGCTGAATTTGGTGCATCTTTCAGTCTAAGTTCTGCTATAATGACCGTACGTTGTATCCCGGGAAAGACTGTAGCTGGTCTACACTAATCCCAAACCTCCCGCACTACCGTCTTCACCCGAATACAACGCCCGGTCATTATAGCTGTATTTGGCACAACTTTCGGTCCAGATACAGAGATAATGACCGGGCGTTCTATTCGGGTGAAGACAGTAGGGTGGGCGACTGACTTTGGCCTCCCAACACCGAAATGGCCAGTGCCTCTCATTAAAATGTAGGAGCAGTCTGACAAAGGGCGTCGTTAGACACTCCTTTTGAAATCCTCGGGCAATAGGAAAAATTCCTAATGGTTCAAAAGGCAATTTGGGCCGTCGTTCCACCTGTCCTCGGGGACATCAACCGGGGATATCCCCTAAGAGTGATGTCAGAAAAGTTGTGCTTCAGGCCTTCAGCCAATAGGATGCCGCCACGATCCAGATTCTCCGCTGTAACGACTCTGTATGGGTGTGCCCTCTCCTCTCCGTGAAACACGAAATCCTTGTGCCCAAGGGATCTCACCCCCAAGGGACCTCGCGAGATCCCTTGGGCAATAGGAAGAAATAACAGAAGGTTAACCGACCCCCAAATTTTCACCCCCATTTATAAGAAAACCAAAGGGCCATTTTAACCATATTTCACACCAATCCATAGAGTGCACTTCTTACTAACTTATTGTTAAAAAAAAAACGAACAAAAAAAAATTAAAAACATATAAAACAGCAAGTCAAAAGTGCACTTTCATGAAATTTCACCAACATTTTTGTGGAAGGCTGGGAAAAGTCCTGTTGCCCTAGGAATTTCCTTACGAGTGTTTTCACTTTTGTTTTTCGATTGCATCCCCGAGGATAGGTGTGGAACGAACAATTCCTTGGGGATTTTGCATCCCCGAGGAGTGTATACCGGATTTTGCATCCCCAAGGAACCAACTTTTCTTCGGGTGGCTTCCGCGTTTGGACCACACTCCTCACTGTGTATCACTGCTAAACAGGCAACACCATCTCTCATAGCCTGAGTGAAGTCATAACGGATGATGTGCCTCCTTGCGCTAGTCCTAACAGGTAGCGGCGCGCTAGATTCCTTTGGGCACTATCCCAAGAGAGCGACATGTCCTCTTCCAGGAACACTAAGGACCGGGAACTAAGAACTGAGCCAACTCCGGCCCTCGCTAACACCAGGTGGGGGTGCCAAAAAGTACCCCAACTTTGGTGATTCTTAGTTAAAAATTCGTTCACTAAAAGAATCTGAAAAAATAAATAAAAAATCGAGCATGTGGAGTAGATGCCTCCATACCCTTACGCTCGAGGAAAGATGCAGCACGGGGTTTGTGATAGGCCGCCTTCTTCCAGAGACCTCTCTCTCTCTCTCTCTCTCTCTCTCTCTCTCTCTCTCTCTCTCTCTCTCTCTCTCTCTCTCTCTCTCTCACACACACACAC